CAATTAAATTTCGTGCGCAAGCCATTTTTAGTTTGTTGGAAAATTTCTACATTATGGGTACTCAAGGAATCTATATATAACAAAAACTTGATACCACGAGCTGTTTTGCGAAATTGAGAGGAATTTCAAATCTGTTCAGTTTTTTTATACACCCTGTATAAACCCCGGAATTAAAGCTACAATGTAGCACAAATCGTATCTCTTATAGTTTCAAATTATTCACCATAATATTGTAAAGGCAGTTAGTAAAGCTGGCTTAGCACCAAAAAATCAGCTCCAGGTAAATTTGAACCAAGCCCATGAACTATATAATTTATAGCGAATTATTACTTTATAGAACGGTCCTGATTACACAAGCTACAATGTATCAGAAATATCATTGGTTGTATTTTTTTGTTCCATCCATATTCCTTGGAAGTCATGCGCAAGATCAAAAAATATACGTGCCGAACTTTTGTTTCAATGACAGGTATAAAGGTAGGAGGCAACGTTTTTGGATATTAAAGATATATGTACGAAAGAGAAAAATCGTCATATTAAGGCTGTAGCTGTTCCAAAAGGAAGGGAAAGTCCTTCATCATTAATTTTGGGCTACGTTAATTATCTCATACCTAGCGTATTAACGGCTGTCCTATTGGCTATCGGGAAACTTCCAGCCACCCTCGGTGCTTCCAATCACGGACTCACCTCCCCGCAAGTATGTTTGTTATAGAACCCACCTGCTGACGTATGTTTAGGAGGGGGGTTCGAGATCGATGCTTTCCGCGGCGGCCATTACGAAGCGATTTGTACAAATATCAGACGAAGATTTAAATAAAGAATAAATTAATTGTTTTTAGTTTATTGTTTATAATTAGTATATTTTTAATTTTGTTTGATGAAAATGGAGTATTCTGTATTCAAAGTGGAAGAGAAGAAAGATGGCCGCCGAAATTTGTTCATCACGGGCAGGTTTATATAGATCTTGGCAATGTTTTCGCAGAATGTGTGCATTTTCTCTTTTCAAGAATAAGAAAATATTTTAGAGAATGTTTTTAGCTTTAATTTAAGCCTAAGTTTTTTTGTTTGCGTAGTATGTTGGCGACTAAAATATTCGTTATCTAAACAAGCTTAAGAAATTATCTACTTAATGCGTAAATTCTTCAGTACTCTTTACCGAAATGAAATGATAAAAACGAGAAACTTCCAGCCACCCTCGGTGAGTCCAATCTCGGACTCACCTTCCTCCAAGTATGTTTGTTATAGTGTCTGCATGGAGGCAGTAGTTTATTTCCGAAAAATGACACTTGCAATATAAAATTGATTGCAATATAAAAAGAATTTTAACTGCCTTCATCACAGAACTGCGCATTAATTTTCCACTGTTCTGTAGAGAGCATCGAGAGAGAAGAAATTGCATATATAATCTTTAAGGCCCTTTTTTGAATATTTGCTCCGTACGTGCAGATCGACAACTGACTTTAATCGGGCTGGTACAGTCAGTAGCGTAGCTAGGAAAAAATTATTGGTCATGCTATTCGCTGACTACCAAGTTCACGAGGCGCCACCATGGTTTGCGCCGAGCGAGAAAAAATTTAAAAATTAGGGCCTCTAGATCGTCGGAAACGGCCTTTTCAGACATTTATCTATTCATATTCATACAAAACATTTGGGCAATTTAGCGTCACTCGAACTTAATTTCCTGCGTTCTGCGCAGTGAAACGTATGGAAATTCATATAATAAACTCCATACAAAAAGCAAAACAGCTTCAGGAAAACACAAAAACATTTTATTTCAGCATGAACAGCAATTACTAATTACATTACAAATAACTCAAACGAGTTATTACTGGCTCAGTTTGGGTGCAGACTGCAAACAATAATCAAAAAGTTATGATGCTGCACTAAAACAACACTCATCATTTCCAACGAGAAAGAAGTACATAAAAGCATACAATAAGCCATTGACTAATATGTAAATGCGAGACAAACTTTCTGTACCGGTGAGGTGAAGACTGGTGCAATTTTCTGTGCAAGTCTAATTAATATAGAAATAGTAAAAGAATAACATGGAAATTATGTGTCACCACATGTCATCACTCATCATGAGCCACCACATTTGAGTGGATATTTCCCATATAACTCTGGTCATCTAATAAAAAAATAAAACTTATAGTAAAAGAAATATATGAAATTATATTTTGGAGTTACCACATTCAAGTGGTTATCTCCCCAGGAAGAGTTATTTCATGGGCTCACCACATTTGAGTGGACATTTCCACAAGCAAGATATGAAATTAAATTTTAGGGTGACCACATATTCAAATCAAGTGGTTATCTCCTCAGGAAAAATTATATCATGAGCTACCACATTTGAGTGGATATTTCCCATATAAATCTGGTCATCTAATAAAAAATAAAACTTATAGTAAAATATGAAATTATATTTTGGGGTCAACACATTCAAGTGGTTTAATATCTCCCCAGGAAGAGTTGTATCATGGGCTCATCACATTGAATGGATATTTCCCTTATAACTCTGGTCATGTAAATGAAGTTATATTTTGGGGTCACCACATTCAAGTCAGGTGGTTATCTCTCGAGGAAGAGTTATATCATGGACTCACCACATTTGAGTGGATATTTTCCTTATAACTCTGGTCATTTTATTAAAAAAATTAATAGACCTTATAGCAAAAGCAAGATATGAAATTGTATTTTGGGGTCACCACATTTAAGTCAAGTGGTTATCTCCCCAGGAATAGTCATATCATGAGTCACCATATTTGAGTGGATATTTCCCCTATTGCCTGTATTCTAGCTAAGAGCTCACTCACACTCAATGAGTGGAGGTTCGATCTGAGCTTCTCTTGAGTGCCATTGCTGTTTTGGCAAAGCTGGGGAGTTAGTGTCGAACCTTACTATGTGACTACTCATCCTCCACCTATACAAAAACAATTGACACTCAAGGTAAGCTCAGATTAAACCTCCACTCATTGAGTGTGAGTGAGTTTTACAATACAGGCGTATAACTCTGGTATTGGTAATTATGGTAAAAGAAATATTAAATTTTATTTTGAGGTCACCACTTTCATGTAGATATTCCCCTTATAAATCTAATATACCCTGATATAATTTCAAGGGATTATAATAATGTACCTATCAATGGTAAGCCCTTGAGGGGGGTTGGGCATATGTGGGGTATTTTATAATTAATTGCATCCCCACCCTGGGGATTTTGATTAGCATTTTGGGCCTGAGTTGAGGCCCATCAAGGGTGTAACCCAGGACGCTTGTCACTAATTTTGTAGCTGCTTTGTTGCTTGTTTTATTGCAATAAATGTCACTGTCACTTTTGACCCATAACACAAATCACAATTTCTCGCTTTTTCCCAGTCAGAAGCTGTCGTTTGTCACTCTTTTGTACATAGTCTGTCGCCACCCTGTCGGTCATAACCCCTTGGTGGGCCTCTCAGTTAGGGCAATGTGAACCAAATGACTTTTATTAATATAGTATTTATTGCAATTTATTGCAAAATGGTGAAGTATTTGACCAATATAATTATTGCCCGACTGTGGGGCATTTGATTGAAAATTTGCTCAAAAAATCAAATGCCCCAGTACCCCACATATGCCCGACCCCCACCTCTGGGGCTTAACATTGATAGGTGCATAACATAGCCAGCAAAACATTGCCTTCTTGGTTAAACAAGTAAAACTACGTACCACAAAGCCAATCATTCTTTGTGTATCAACTCTCCTGAGAACTTATATCTCCAGTGGTCGATTGTAAATTCGGCATTGGCCGTTGTGTTACAATTATATTTTGCTCGCCTGATTGACGAGCAGAGAATGTGAATTATCTCGAACAGAAAGACTGTATCAAAGGACAAAGGCTCAAGTCATGCTCTGGAAAATGAGCATGACTAGATGTTGCGAAACAGCGCGTTTGAGCATGCGCAGTTGCCATTATCCAATCAGATTGCCAGTATTTCTACTATAAAATATATTACTTGGTCATGCTGATTTCAGAGGGCATGACTAGACCGAGAAATGCGTGGAACATGCTGTACACACGAAATTCACACGAACTCGCCATGTTTGTTGCTAGGTAACCTATGCAAATGAGCAATATTTTGCCGAAAATGACATAATATAGCGAAATCTTGTCTAAAGTTCTTGTGAAAATTTCGAAAATCTAAAAGATTTGAATTTGAATTTTAGCGGAAAAAATTCTTTATTTTTGGGGAAATTTTTGGTCATGCTCAGCATGACCAGCATGACCGCTAGCTACGCCACTGTCCATTAACGCGATCAAGGTATTTAAAAAACAAAATTAACGCGAAGCCAACGTAACGGCAAAGACAACGCTAAAATGAGATATTGTCGATGGGTTGCTGAAAGCCCTGTTTCCAATAATATTCGCTAATCGCACCGAATAACACCAACTGACACAATAGTTCAAATGCAATGATAAGTTACCTCTGAATTACGTCTCAGAAATTATTGTGTTGGAAATTTAGATGCTGACCTATTACATATAGATTACCGTTTTACATCGTTGAATAAAACATTTTGATCGCATGTAAGGAATTATTTCTCAGCCCAGAGACATAGCCCAAAGACTTATCCTTAACGTTGTGATTTTATAGAGAAAGAGCCAGAACTTAGGATTCTAGAAAGCGTCATCTGTACCTTCTCAAAGTTGTATAGACAAGATAATATGTTGTTTACGTCCAACACGCATAATAATTTATTACATAACTCAAAATGATCCCGCTACGGAGCGGGAACTTTTTGGATTTGAACTCAGCGTGTTCGAAAGTGTTAGTTCGAATTCCCGTAAAAATATTTCAGTTCCAATACATGGGAAATGAAAATCGTTTTCTAGGCACTTTTTGAGGTCACAGCAAACGGACTATAGTTGTATGGAATCGCTAAAATTTATTTTATTTTTATTTATTTATTTATTAATTTAAAAATATTTTACAACGATAACCCTTCAGAATCTACACATATCTGTTTTTCAAGAGGTCGTTGAACAATAACACATGGAGTTACAAAAATTACATCCACAGACAGCTACTACTATATTATACAACTACTATATTATACAATTACTATATTATGTTAAAAATATTTACAAGATTCAGCGACGGTCAAGTATAGACTTACATTTTGCTACACCAATCCCTTTCTCTTTTGCATATTTTTGCAAGTCATTCCAAACTGAAGCGGCAGAATAGGTAATACTGGTCTTCATAAAATTAGTTTTTGGTTTCTTTAAAAACAAAATCCGTATTGTTGTTGCGTAAACTATGATTTGAGTTATTTTTCATTTCGTATTTACCAATCATTGATTGTGGCAGTTTAACATTATTTTTAACGTTTTATGCAAACATTGCAGCATGAGCTCCACCTTTGAATTTACTATATGAGTAAATTCTTAAACACGTCCGAATTTATCATAATAATAAATTCGCGGCACCTAACACTAACCCTAACCCTAACCCCAACACTAACCCTAACCCCAACCCTAATCACTAACCACTAACCCCTAACCCTAACTTTTTTAACTTTTTAAATTTTTTTAACTTTTTTAAGAATCTAACTTTTTAAACTTTTTTGCTATTTTTTGAAAATCTTGAAAATCTCCGCACCCCCGCGCGACCAGCCTCCCTTTTAGTGCCATTACATTTATAACAAGAAGTCTTGTCTAATGCTTGTGGTTTTATGATTAATTCTATTGATAAATTCAAAATGTGCCGCGAATTTATCATAATGATAAGTTCAGACGTGTTTAAGGATTTACTCATATAGTAAATTCAAAGGTGGAGCTCATGTTGAAACATTGCTCTCTTGTTCCGGCAACGATCTTTCTAGGGTAGCCAGTCCAGTTCACTTAATATGTTTTCGGAACTTATGTCGTAACTATACTGCCAGTGATTACTCGCGCCGCCCTGTTTTGTAATTTTTTCAGTTTTTTTAATAAATAATCCGCGCATTCATCTCAAACAAGGCTGCAATAAACAAAATGTGACAAAATTATTGCATTATAGAATTTAATTAATGTAGAAGTAGATACATATTCTTTAATTCGACGTAGCATACCTATGCCCTTAGAAACGTTTTTCGTGATATTAACAATATGTGCGTTCCATGTTAAATGATCGTCAATTACTACACCTAACGTTTTGGATGTATTAACTCGTTTAATTGTTGCTTCTCCCAGTTCAATTGGTGGATCAATAATTATATTAGCTAGACGTTGTTTAGATGCTATTATCATATACTCAGTCTTTTCGCTGTTTAATGTGAGTTTATTGGCAAGTAGCCATTGATGCACCTTCTCCAAGTTTTCATTCAATCTTTCATTAATTTCATGTACGTTTGCTCCACATCACCACATGATGATATATTTGTAAACATACTTACACTAGTACTAGAAGAAAGGCAATTAGGTAGATCATTAATATATATCAAGAGTAGTGGGCCTAGGTTTGAGCCCTGAGGAACACCGCACTTTATGATTCTTTCCTAGATGTTGTTTGTTTTATTTGTACATTTGTGTCCTGTCAGTTAAATAGGATTTGAACCATTTAAGCGCTTGTTCTTGTATGCCGTACACATGCATTTTTTTTGAGAAGAATATCATGATCTACACAATCAAAGGCTTTTTTAAATCAAGGAATAGAACAAAATTCAGACATACTTTGTCCATGTTTATATACCACTCGTTTGTTATGTTAAGAAGGGATGTTTGTGTAAAATGTTGTTTTCTAAACCCGGCCAGATGTTCTGTGATCACAACATTCTCTTCCAGATAAGTTTCAAGTTGTTTAGTAAACAAGCTCTCCAATATTTTGGTTACTGCAGACAAAACCGAGATAGGTCTATAGTTATTACAATGCGTTTTACACCGTGTTGAAATAAGAGCCACTTTGAAATCATTTGGGAATATGCCGGTCATAATTGATGCGTTGTTGGGAATATGCCCGTCATAATTGAAGTATATATGTCAATGAGGGAGCTATAATGTCAGCTGCGTCCTTCAATAATTTATTCGGAATTCCATCGTGCCCGATTGATTTCATCGTTTTAACTTCTGAAAGGAGTTTAAAAACCTTTTGTATAGTGACGTTTTGAATTTGAAAATGGGATTTTCAGCGTGCTAAATAATACGACTCAGGTGATTCCAAACTTTGAGATAGATTGGCAGCAAGTTGAGGTCCAACTTCACTGAAATACTCATTTAATGTATTTGCAATTGTATGGTCGTCGGTTATGCGTTTACCGTTCTGATTAATTTCAGTGATATTGGTTGTTTTAGAAGTTTTGTTAGTTAACCTATTTATTGTTTTCCACATTTCTTTAGGATTTCTTTCACAACTGTTAAGTTTATTTTTAAAATATTCAGCTTTAGTTTTCTTAATCAATTTATTTAACTCATTGCGCTGTTTTTTATAAGCGTCATGATATAGTTTAGATTTTGTTTGAACAGCTTTTTTCTTAAGATACTCCCTATGGCGCATTGTTTGTCTTATACGTTTTGTAATCCAGGGAGAGTTTACACTTCTTACTTTCCTGGTTTCTTGTGGTGCGTGTGTATCTGCGACTAGTAAAAATCTATCTTTCCATTCTGACCACATCGCCAGAAATTTAAAACATTTGAGCCGGCGCGCAATACAGCGGTTCTTCAGCGTATAACAAGAAATGGAAATACCGTGATAGTGATTAGTGGAAAGGATATGCAAATTAGAAGATACAGGCTTGCAAATAACACTCTAAATAGTGTTTTTGACTGGGATTCGAATTGTGTAATTTGATAGTATATAATCTCGTTTGACTTTCAAGGCCCATAAATCGCTCCAATATTGATAATTGACTATAACTATCCTGAGGAATTATGTTGATCTTTTATTTCTGAATCGAATGGTGGTATTTCTCTCTTCATAGCATGTACTGAACCGAAGATATGAACTACAAAGCCGTCAACCTCTCGAGGTTGAGTGTATTTACATATTTCGTACGTGTTTCACGGGCCCGCGAAATGGTAATATATTTCACGACGGCTGCCGTGTTCGTTCGTAATTTTCCGGCCACAAATACACCGCTGCATCTTTCGAGGACAATTTTGATATGCTTTTCAACTATCTTCGGGGAGTCTTTGCTCGCGAAAAATCGGTTTCTATTATCGATTCTCGCGCAGCACTACATATCAATGTAATATGAGAATATGGACTTGTAAAAGCACAAATATTTCGTACTTTCAACTGGATTTTGGAACAAGTTACCCAGGAGCGGTCCAGAATTTTTCGTACGTTAGTCAAAGTTTTCGGATGTACAATCTAGTTTGGCGAGCGGCGAATGCTCGAAGCACCTAGGGAGTCTGTCTCGCAGGAAATTTTTTATTTTGAATCTCAGAAACGCCATTTGCAGCACTCTGAGAGCAGCTAAATTAACCTCATGAAACGGGAGACAATTATGGCAATTTTCAGTCTCATGCACACTCTCACTGACTCTCACAATTAACTCGCTCCTTAGGGGAAAGTAAAGAAGTACTCGCAGAAATGTGATAATTGTGGAAGATATTTCATTTTATCAAATTACGGATGATTGTTGAGTCATTGACCACTTGACTAGTAATCACCACAGTGTCGTATTACTCAAATAGACATATATCAATATTATAAAAATCTTACTTTAACATTCATTACACTTCCTGAAGGGCAAGTGTCATAAATTACCAGTTTTCTGTCGTGTTTGTCGTTTTCGTCGTCGACAAATGGAGTTTCCATCAGCGCATCGCAGGCTCAGGCTAAGAAATTATGTGCATCTATGGATTTCTATGGATAACATAGGTTTTTCTCAGTTATGTACATCTATGGATTACATATGTTTCTTTCAGTTAACCATGGGATAACTTAGGATATCTATGTCTAAAAATATATATCCCACGACGCTTTTTTTAATTTTGTATTTTTGCATGAAACTTTCCATGGATTTATGGCACTTTTATTCCTGGAAAAAATCTCTACCACACATCATGTCTTGCATAGGTATGTTCTACAAACCTTTACTCACTGTTAAATCAATTTTATGTTGTAACTTGTGAATTATTAAAACGTACTAAAGTCACATTTGAATATCAAAAATGATCTTGAATGTTGTCACGAAAATCTTTCCTGGGCCGCAAAATGAGATTTTAATTAATCAGCTTTAGGTCGAATTTCCATCTATACTAAAACCATTATTCATTAGAAATTCATTTTATTCAAGTTTTAACGACACGTACAGTTTAACACGAGGTTTATAAACAAACGAGATACTTAATGATGCTTGTAATATTACTCTGAGTGCATATCACTGGGAATCGAACCTACGACCTTTGGAATACCAGTCCAATGCTCTGCCAACTGGGCTACGCTGTCAGGTCGGTTCGAGTATGTGATATTTCGGAACCGAATCTAGTTCCTTCGATACAAATGTAATCTAATAATCATGATTTTTCTGTGTTGGTGTAGTGTACTCAGGTGAATATGATGCTTAGTACACTACACCAACACAGAAAAATCATGATTATTAGATTACATTGGTATCGAAGGAACTAGATTCGGTTCCGAATTATCACATACTGACCGCGTAGTTGGCAGAGCATTGGGCTAGTATTCCAAAGGTCGTAGGTTCGATTCCCAACGTGGCCAGGCATATTTTTCAAGCTTGGCCGGTGTGATATGTACTCAGAGTAACATCACAAGCATCATATTCACCTGAGTACACTACACCAACACAGAAAAATCGAGATACTTAATATTACTTCAATACTTCTCACTTCATGAAACCCCGGCTTCCCAAATCCCAGGGCATATATTCCCGGGTATAATAACTGGGGTTTAACTCAGTTAGGTCTTAAGCCGGTTTTCTACTTCAACCGTATCGCTCGTAACGAACTGTAGCATTTTCTTTTGTGTCGAAGTCATTAGTTCCACTCTAGTGGTCAGGAAACAAAGAAATACGCTACGCTTCGTTACGATACGATACGGTTGAAGTGGAAAACCGGCTTAAAGATAATATGTTTAATTAAATTTCACAATTACAGGTTTTCATAATTTCAGGTTTTCAATTGACTGTTGTTTTGTATCAGCTTTATTACAGTCACAGTGCGTCTACTATAAGGGGCCACATCCATATTCATGTTGCGACACATAACGTCGAATCGATGTTATGAGTGGGTGAGTGGGTTTAAACGTTAACTCCTCGAGGTTATATGTTGTCGCAATTTGACTATTGTTCTTAATATTATTACAGTATAACCTTTCTATTACAAGTTTTCACATTTAAGTTATAATAATATTATAATAAAAATACAGATGAAAAAAAAATTTAATTTTTATACTGAATGTCGACAATGACACGATCTCAGTTAACATGGTTGCATATGCCGTTGTTTTGGTGCCAGCAAATTTGTGCATGTTTTATTTTGATTTCACGGTTTTAATACATCTTTAAGATGAATTGATTGATTATTTATTTATTATTTGTGACATTTTTCACAGTCAGAATATGACTATGCCACGCTCGGCGTTATCTGAGGTGGGTGGGTGGGTCCAAACAATAACGTTGATTCAACGTTATCAGGGTCTTAGCTAGGATTTTAGATCTTTGACATGTTTCTGAATGACCAAGGTGTGCACACGAATAGCCAAATCACGGTTCTAGTTATGGCTCGCCAACAACAGACAATGCCTGTGGTTGTTCTATGCTTTGGAACCAAATACGAGGCGAGTATACGCTCATATTGCGCACTGGCATTAAAATACTAAGTTATTTCGATCAGCAACCCTTGGGGGTATTTAAAACCATTTTACAGTAACACCATATCCATCAAAACATTACAACATCATGGATCAGTTTTGCCAATTTCAAGAACTACAGTAGATTTTACAAATTTTCTGACGACGTAAATATAGGAAGAAATTATGTCTGTTGTAAGCAGTATAAATCAACACTATTTTAACCCTATTTTATCCCTATTTTACTTTCTATTTTATTCCTATAGAAAAGCTATTTTATTTTTAACCCTATCATATTGCTATCACATATACAAATCCTATATTAAATCTATTAGAACTCTGTTTTACTTGTATTTTATAGCTATTATAAATAGGTGCACGGATTAAAATAGGTTTAAAAGAGGATAAAATATATTTAAAATAGAGTGCAAAATAGAAATAAAATAATAAAGTAAAGTGAAACATTGGTAATAAATAGATTTTAAACATACATAAAATAGGTTAAAATAGTCGAAAATACATATAAAATAGTGGATCAACTGCAGCTTGCGAAAATCAACACCATTTTAACCCTATTCTACTTTCTATTTTATTCCTATAGAAAAGCGATTTTATTTTTAACCCTATCATATTGCTATCACATATACAAATCCTATATTAAACCTATTAGAACTCTGTTTTAATTGTATTTTATGGTTATAATAAATAGGTTTTTTTAAAACAAAAAATAGCCTATTTTAAATAGATTTTATTTTTTTAACGGTGAAGCACGGATTAAAATAGGTTTAAAATAGGATAAAATATATTTAAAATAGAGTGCAAAAATAGAAATAAAATAATAAAATAAAGTGAAACATTGGTAATAAAATAGATTTTAAATATACATGATATTAAAAATAGTCGAAAATACATATAAAATAGTGGATCAAATGCAGTATATTAACTAAAAATAGTAATAAAATTACTGCAAAAATAGTAATAATTAAAAATAGTTTAAAAATATGAATAAAATACTGATAAAATAGTAAAATTTAAAATAGTGATAAAATAGGGAACAAAATAGTAAAAAAATCATTCAAAATTATTATAAAATAGTATAAAAATAGTAATAAAATATTCGAAAGTCATAACAGTTCTAAAATGATTAATAAAATAGTTATAAAATTGTCAAAAAGTAGTAATAAAATAGTTATAAAATAGCAATAAAAGAATAGTAAAATAGTCATAAAATAGCAATAAAATAGTCAGAATGTAGCAATAAAATAGTTATAAAATAACAATAAAATACCTATATAAAAATAGTAGCACTGCAACATAGTTACTTTATAAAGTAATAAAATTATAGTATGATAATTAAAACCAGTTAAAAAATAGTAATGAAATAATATCAAATTAGCTGAAAACTAGCAATGCAGTACCATGGTTGACAGGTATATTTATCGTTTAAAATTGTATAAAATAATACACATAAAACAGTTTGTATTCTTATTAACTGTCAATGCTAGGTTGTGGCAGTTTAAGGGCGGCGCGGGTGAATGTGGCAGTTTAAGCAGTGTCAAATCAATGGCATTGTTTACCACAGTCAGAGTTACACGATTGGGTTTCAAATCAATTGCAGGATGAGCAGTCTAGTAGTCTACTAGCAGTTAGACCCATGCCACCAAGCATCTTGCAGATCAAGCAGCTATTGCTAATACATGTCAGCTTAATTGTCAGTATTGAAAGGTGAAAAATGGGCA